TGCCCCTGTATCAAGGGTGGGAAGGGCTCCAGATATAGTGGGAAGACCAGATGTCCTTTCCCTAACCAGCCCGGTGGGCATCACCAAGTCACTTCTTCTTTCAGAGAGACTTTGGTATGAATTGCATTTTGTTGAGCTTTAATCCTTTGAATAGGTAATCTATGTTTGAGACCTTTTGGTAAACACAACATTGTATTAACAGGACTGATTCATTGGACCATTTTGACACACTGGAAAGTGCAAAAGCAACACAACAAGGAAGAGCAAGCCTTCCTGTCCATTAGTCACACTGGAGATTATTGTCACTGCTTCCAAAATGGCTGTGTTTATTCTACATCTCCATATATGTGAAATGGAACTGAATCTGTCTGTCCACTGGGCTTTTAGGAGCTCTAATCTTATTATTTCCCTGTCAGAACCCTTCAGGGGTTCTCTGGTCAATACCATATTATATATTTTTTCCCTTGGCTTTTAAGGCTCTTTATAGTTTGAAGATAGCATTTATGGTGAATATTTATGCAGTCTTTTTTACAGTTTCTAGATTTATCCCAGAAATGCAGATATGGTTTAATTTTAGAAAATATATTAGTATCATTTACCACATTAAAAGGTTAAAGGGAAAAATCCATATGATCACTTCATTAGATTCACAAAAATATTTGATAAATTCAGTATAGTTTTATGATTAAAAAGCAATAAAATGCAAGGGAATTTTCTCAATTTGATTAAGGTTATCTATAAAAATTTTACAACAAACATGCACAATGGAGAAACATTAAAAACATCATCTTTAAGGGGCGCCTGGGTGGCTCAGTCGGTTAAGCGGCCGACTTCGGCTCAGGTCATGATCTCACGGTCTGTGAGTTCGAGCCCCGCGTCGGGCTCTGTGCTGACAGCTCAGAGCCTGGAGCCCGTTTCAGATTCTGTGTCTCCCTCTCTCTGACCCTCCCCCGTTCATGCTCTGTCTCTCTCTGTCTCAAAAATAAATAAACGTTAAAAAAAAAAAATTAAAAAAAACATCATCTTTAAAATCAGAAAGACAACAAGAATATTTGTTAGCACACTTTCTATTCAACATTGTGTGGCTATCCTAGCCAGTGCAAAATTTCTTTCTTTCTTTTTTTTTTTTTTAAATTTTTTTTTTCAATGTTTTTATTTATTTTTGGGACAGAGAGAGACAGAGCATGAACGGGGGAGGGGCAGAGAGAGAGGGAGACACAGAATTGGAAACAGGCTCCAGGCTCTGAGCCATCAGCCCAGAGCCTGATGCGGGGCTCGAACTCACGGAGCGCGAGATCGTGACCTGGCTGAAGTCGGACGCTTAACCGACTGCGCCGCCCAGGTGCCCCCAAAATATCTTTCAAAAAAAAAAAAATTAGACACCTAAGAATTGGAAAGGAGGGGGAGAAAAAACCCTCTGGCATTATATGCAGGTTAATTTGACTGTTTACATAGAACACTTTATCGACTCTTCAAATATAGAAATAATAGGAACATTTGGTAGGGTGGCTGTTTAGTAATTTGCAAAAATCAATTGCATTTTATAAACCATAGCAATCAGAAAATAAAATTCATAAAAGACACCATTGCTATTGTAAAACAGCAACAAAAGCCCTAAAGTACTTAATAAATTTAATCAAATGTATAAAGTCTTCATTAAGAAAAATATAAAAGTTTGACATTAAAGACGATTAAATAAGTGGAGAGAGATATTCCATGTTCATGGATCAGAAAACATAATATCAAAAAGATATCAGTTCTATGCTAATTGATCTATAAATCATTACAGTTGCTATCAAAATTTCATAATAAGTCATGGAACTTAATAAGCTGATACTAAAATTTGTATGAAAGAATAAAGAAAGTAGCGTAGTCAAGACACATTTGAAGCATAATAATTGGATTGAAGACTTAAGCTGTCAGATATCAAGCTTTATAATGAAGTTACAAAAATAATGTGGTACTGGCATAGGGACAGGTAAACCAACCAATGGAATAGCTTAGAGAGTCCAGGAATAGATCCCTATATTTGGAACTTTGACATGACTTAAGGTGGCATGACAGGTAAATGGGAAAAATAAGTATTCAGTAAATGGAACATATGGAAAAAATTAAATCCCTATTTCACACCAGGACATAAAAATCAACATCAGATCAAATAAGGGCCATTAATCAAAAAGAAAAATGTAGGGCACCTGGGTGGGTTAAGGATCAGACTCTTGATTTCTGCTCACGTCATGATCTCACTGTTCATGAGATCGAGCCCCATGTTGGGCTCTGTGCTGACAGTAAGGAGCCTGCTTGGGATCCTCTGTCTCCCTGTCTCTCTCTGCCCCTCCCCTGCTCACACACTCTGTCTGTCAAATAAATAAACTTAGAAAACAAAAGCAAAAATGTTAAACTTTTAGTAGAAAATAGAAAATAAGATCTTCTGGCTTGGAGTAGGAAAAACATTGACTTTAAAAGAAATAACACTTATGGGATTTCTCACATGAAGTTTTTCAACTTTACGGGATGCTCTTTCATGTTGATCTTATCTTCAGTTTTGAGATTTTCTTTTCCTCCTTAAACACATAATTCTATAGTCGGTTGAGCGTCAGACTTCAGCTCAGGTCATGATCTCGCGGTCCGTGAGTTCCAGCTCCGCGTCGGACTCTGCTGACAGCTCAGAGCCTGGAGCCTGTTTCATATTCTGTGTCTCCCTCTCTGTCTGACCCTCCCCCATTCATGCTCTGTCTCTCTCTGTCTCAAAAATAAATAAATGTTAAAACAACAACATATAATTCTAATCATCTGCCTTTGTGTATCTCTTGATATTTATATTCCTGTGCCTGATCAATTAACTTCTTTGCCCCCAGAATCCAAATAGTCCCAAAGTTCAGATGACTGTGGCTTATATTTGCATGCTGAACTGAAGGTGGGGAAGGAAGGCCAAAAGAGGAGTCTGCGATGGTCAGACAAACTGTAGGTCTTGCATGGTGGTTGTGATTTGATTGTTCCAGTAGTTACAAATCTCACTGTAAGATCTGTAGAGACTGTCAGGTCTCTGGAACATTCTCTTAACCACAGAAGTCCCTTTCTCAAGCCAGTTTGCAAGTCTAGGTGGTGGCGTGGAAGGAGGCACGCCAGGCAAAGGCAAAGCAAACTGTCTTTAAACTAGAGTTGGAGAGTTGGAGTGAACTGTGAGTCTCCAAATCTACACAAATGGAGAAGGTCCTGTTTTCTTATCAGAACAGAGGTAACGCCAAGGTCCTGGACTTGACCTTGGAGCTGAAAAGTTTCATTAGGTTGGGAAAAGAAGTCCATTTTTGTGTATTCTTTAAAAAAAAATTTTTTTAGTGTTTATTTATTTTGAGAGAGAGAGATATTGTAAGTGGGGGAGGGGCAGAGAGAGATGGAGACGCAGAATCTGGAGCAGGCTCTAGGCTCTGAACTGTCAGCACAGAGCCCCAAGCAGAGCTTGAACCCAGGAGCTGGGAGATCATGACCTGGGCCGAAGTCAGATGTTTAACTGACTGACCATTGACCATTCTTTCGATAATTTTTTTTCCTCCCCACATAAAGCTGAGACATATTGCTTAGGAGTTGTTGGGCATCTACTTGGCATCCATAGGGATATGAGTGTCTTCTGTATAGAGGACTTTGAGGTTGTGAATGACTTGGAAGTCACCACTTGCTCACTTAGCCCACATGGATAGCTCTTCTTTTCATAATAATGACAGTCCCTTGTCTTACCCTGGGATTATGTTTTCCCAAAAGCTTTCATTCCTGTTATATTGTTTTCCATACCACAGGCAATGTGATCTTTGTTAAGGACACACGTGTTCACCTGTTCCTGTCTACTTCTCTCTCCCTTTAATGGCTTCTCATTGTCTCAGAGTAAAATCCAAGCTCCATGGCTTTGCTAATATGACACTTACAGGACTGCTCAGTCTTCTAGGCTTTGCTCTTGAGACTCTCTTCTAGTTTTACTGAACTCACTTGACTCTTGTACTCCAGGTCTTTGTATATGTACTCTTTCCTCTGCTGGGATATTCTCCATTTTCCTTTTTACTTTGCTTGCTTTTGCTCTTTCTTGGGATTTCTGCTCTCCCTCAGCTTCTGGAAAGTTTCCCCTCATACTGCCAGCCCCGGAGTAGTTACCCATCCTCTGCACTTATGTCCAGTCGTGATACATAGGATATTATGTTTAGGTTTTTACTTGGTTTTCTCCTCCACCGAACTGTAAGCTTTGTGAGAGCAGTGTCTGTGCCTTGTTTGTTGTGTTTCCCTTAATTTTTTTTAACATTTATTTTAGAGAGAGAGAGAGAGAGGGAGAGAGCAGAGCACAAGTGGGGAAGAGGCAGAGAGAGAGGGAGACACAGAAACGGAAGCAGGCTCCAGACTCTGAGCTGTCAGTACAGAGCCTGATGCGGGGCTTGAACTCACAAACCACGAGATCATGACCTGAGTCGAAGTCGGATGCTTAACCGTCTGAGCCACCCAGGTGCCCCTCCCTTAAACTTAAATACAGTGCCTGACACCTTTTGGGATAAGCACTGGGTGTTGTATGGAAACCAATTTGACAATAAATTTCATATATTAAAAAAAAAATAAAAAAAATAAATACAGTGCCTGGTACACGGTAGCCTCCATTAAATTTTTGTTGAGTGAACAAATTTCCCTACGAAGTGAGTGGTCACTTTGTCTCCCTCCGTCTCCTCCACCCCTTTAGGGCATGGGGGATGGAGGATAAGGATATCCCACAAAGTCGCACATGTGATGGTAGTAGCTGAGCTAGGACCCAGCTTCCACCAGAGGAATGTAGTTTGCACTGGAAGATCCTGCAGAAATGGCTGACCCAACGCATTTTCTTTTCCTGCTGGGTCTGTGACAAAGAGAACAAGCTGACAAAGATGCTTCTGGTGGGTGGGCAAATGCACGGAGTTGTAGCAGCTGGGTGACTGGGTTTACCAACATGTGATCCTCTCTTTCCCCTCCCACTCTCTTCCTGTTCACAGCATCAAGCCGAGCTCTCAGCCCCCGGTTCAGGCTGGGGATGATGAGAAGAACCAGAGGATCATCACTGTCAACTCTGCCCACATGGGGAAGGCGTTCAAGGTGATGAATGAACTGCGGAGGTACTTTTCCTATTTTGCCTGTGCCCTTTTGGGAAGAGCTTGTTGAGTGAGCGTCATCAGAGACTGAGAACAGAAGTCGGAACACCACCACCTAGTGAATTCTGACTCTTCCCCACCTACTCTCAGTCACTTGGCTTCCCCTTTAAACTCCAGTCGAGACAGATTGGCTTTCAGAAAGTACTCTATTTCCTTTGCATTTATTTAACACTTTTCATTGTACTCCTTAATCACAGAGGAATAATTTTTTATGGCTATAGCAGTTCTGTTCATAAACTTGGTTTCCAACCAAACCAGCTGCCTAATGACTAATAATAGACTGATTGCAATACCTACACATAGTTGCAGATTAAAGATTGTGGGTGCTACACATTTTCTGTTGGCCTCCCTCCCTCATTCCTTGGTCTGAACTTAGCTTGTTAAGACAGCTATGTAAGTGGAAAAATATCTAGCTTCTTCGATGTAGTTTAACTGTGTAAAGGAAGGAATGAAATGCAAATGTGCTCATCCTTTGTAGGCTGGCTAATGGTGAGTGTGTGCAGGCTATTTATAAAGCTGATATGTGCATTTGGTGAGTTTGCTGCAAAACAGATTTGGGACGCTGAGCATGTTTTTCTCTACAAAGGCTGTACACCCAGTCTCCTCCCTACCAGAGAACTCAGAAGGTTCCTTTGCCCACAGCATTATTTACAGCATAGTTAGCCCTATTGTGAGCTATAATTGCTAATCTCCTCTTTTCTCAGTTGTTTGTGAGCTCCCTGAGGGCAAGGACAACTTCTGAATCTTTTTGATCTCTAGCACCTAGTACTTCATGGGCTCTTCAAGGCATTTACCAAAGATGCCCAGAGGCACTGACTAGGCTCTGGGATGGGTAGCTTAAAAAATGTAAATAGTTAAATGAAAATGATCTTCCTATAATACAAAATAGGTGTTATGAACGAGGAATGCATCAGGCGCCTGTCAGTTGTTAGAAGTGCAATAATTATTTGTTTCTGAAAGGGTACTATGAAAGCAAATATGTCTTACTTGAAAGACAAGTAAGAGTTAAAGAAATGAAAAGTGGTAGGATTAGGGGGAAGCCTTCCAGGCAGAGACAATGGCATAAGTAAAAAGCACATATAGCTAACGATGTGTTTGTTGAGTAGGGGCTTAAACTACTTTTATTTATTTATTTTTTAAAAAGTTTATTTATTTATTTTGAGAGAGAGAGAGAGAGCGAGAGAGAGAGAGCACAAGAGCATGGGAGGGGCAGAGAGGGAGGGAGAGAGAGAATCCCAAGCAGGCACTGTGCTATAAGTGCAGAGCCCGACATGAGGCCCGTTCCCATGAACAGTGAGATCATGACCTGAACCAAAATCAAGAGTCAGACACCTAACGGACTGAGCCACCCAGACACTCCAGGGGTTGAACTACCTTTTTCTTTCTTTCTTTTTTTTAAAATATACTTTATTGTCAAATTGGCTTCCATACAACACCCAGTGCTCATCCCAACAAGTGCCTTCCTCAGTGCCCATCACCCACTTTCCCCTCTTCCCCACCCCCCATTAACCCTAGGTTGGTTTTCTGTATTTAAGAGTGTCTTATGGTTTGCCTCCCTCCCTCCCTGTTTGTAACTTTTTTTTTCCCTCCCCCTTCTTCATGGTCTTCTGTTAAGTTTCTCAAGATCCACATAGGAGTGAAAACGTATGGTATCTTTCTTTCTCTGACTTATTGCACTTAGCATAATACCCTCCAGTTCCATCCACGTTGCTGCTAATGGCCAGATTTCATTCTTTCTCATTGCCAAGTAGTATTCCATTGTATATATAAACCATATCTTTATCCTCATCAGTTGATGGACATTTAGGCTCTTTCCATAATTTGGCTATTGTTGAAAGTGCTGCTATAAACATTGGGGTGCATGTGCCCCTATGCATCAGCACTCCTGTATCCCATGAGTAAATTCCTAGCAGTGCTGTTGCTGGGTCATAGGGTAGTTCTATTTTTAATTTTTTGAGGAACCAGAGAAGCTGCATCAGTTTGCATTCCCACCAACAGTGCAAGAGGGTTCCCATTTCTCCACATCCTTGCCAGCATCTATAGTCTCCTGATTTATTCATTTTAGCCACTCTGACCGGCATGAGGTAGTATCTCAGTGTGGCTTTGATTTGTATTTCTCCAGGAGTTGAACTACTTAAAAAAAAAATTCTGTCTGGTTCTGTATTTGTTTCCTCATTTCCTTTTTCTGTAGGGCCCAGTCTTTGGTGTTAAAAACCAAGGTAAATTAAATTTGTCTCATGCACTATTGCTCAATATTTATTATGCCTCCTGCCAGATTTCCTGGAAGCTCTACCCATAGTTGTTTTAGGCAGTGGTCAGTGTTCATGCCTATGGGTCCAGTTTTCTTGTTCCTGAGGAATTTGTGTTGTTTTCCGTAGATACTAGGTAGATAGTAGTGACATTCCTCATTTAGTTCTCTTCAGTATGGCTTGTGTCTTCTGTCTGATTTAAGACTCCAGGCCTCCAAGTAAACAACCTAACTTTACATTTCAAGGAATTAGAAAAAGAAGAACAAACTAAGCGAAGTTATCAGAAGGAACAAAATAAATATTAAAGATTAGAGCAGAGGTAAATGGAATGAGACTAAAAAGACAACAGGAGAAAATCATTGAAAGTGATAATTGGCTTTTTGAAAAGGTAAACATAACTTTAGCTAGACTAACCAAGGAAAAAAAAGAGAGAAGACTCAAAATTATAAGTGAAAGAGGAGGCATTACAACTTGATACCATGGAAATACAAAAGATTTTAAGAGGCTACTATGAACAATTGTATGCCAACAAATTGGATAATCTAGAAGAAATGGACAAAATCCTTGAAAAGTACAACTTACCAAGACTGAATCATTAAGAAATAGAAAATCTGAACAGACCAGTAATGATTAAGGAGATTGAATCAGTAATCAGAAATCTCCCAATAAAAAAAGGCCTGTGACCAGATGGCTTCACTGGTGAATTCTACCAAATATTCAAAGAAGAATTAATGCCAGTCCTTCTCAATTCTTCCAAAACATTGATGAGAAGGGATCACTCACAAACTCATTTTAACAAGGCCAGCAATTACCTTGATATCAAAGCCAGATAAGGGCACTACAAAATAAGAAAACTGCAGGCCAGTATTCCTCGTGAATATTGATGTAAAAATTCTCAACAAAATACTAGCAAACTGAATTCAACGGTACATTAAAAAGCGGGGTGCCTGGGTGGCGCAGTCGGTTAAGCGTCCGACTTCAGCCAGGTCACGATCTCGCGGTCCGTGAGTTCGAGCCCCGCGTCGGGCTCTGGGCTGATGGCTCAGAGCCTGGAGCCTGTTTCCGATTCTGTATCTCCCTCTCTCTCTGCCCCTCCCCCGTTCATGCTCTGTCTCTCTCTGTCCCAAAAATAAATAAACGTTGAAAAAAAAATTTTAAAAAGATCATACACATTAATAGACTGAAGGATAAAAATCATATGATCCTCTTAATAGATGCAGAAAGTGACAAAATCCAACATCCTTTTATGATGAAAACTCCCAACAAATTGGATATAGAAGGAACATATCTCATCATAATAAAGGCCGTATATGACACATCTACAGCTGCTATCACATTCCATGATAAAACTGGAAGTCCTAGACAGAGCAGTTAGTCAAAGTGGTGGGCATCCATATAAGAAAGGAAGAAGTAAAATAGTCTCTGCAGATAACAAGATCCTTTTTATAGAAAAACCTAAATGCCCCCCAAAAACTTTAGAACTGATAAACAAATTTGGTAAAGTCGCAGGATACAAAATCAACTTATTAAAATCAGTTGCATTTCTATATGGTAACAGTGAACTATCTGAAAAAGAAAGAAAACAGTTCCATTTCCAATAGTGTCAAAAACAGTAAAATATTTAAAAATTTATCCAAGGAAGTGAAGGATCTGTATGCTGAAAACTATTATATGTTATTGAAAGAGATTGAAGAAGACAAAAATAAATGGATAGATACCTGTTTTATGTATTGGAGGAATTAATATTGTTGGAGTCCATAATACCCAAAGCCATCTATATATTCAATGCAACCTGTATCAAAATTCCAGTGCCATTTTTTGCAGAAATAGAAAAAAATTCTACAGTTTGTAAGAAGCCAAAAACAACCCTGAATAGCCAAAGCAGTCTTGTAAAAGAAGAACAAAGCTGGAGATACACAGTTTCTGATTTCAAACGATATCACAAACACAGACCATGAACAGAATTGAGAGCCCAGAAATAAACCCACATAGAATGCAAATTGGTGCAGCCGCTCTGGAAAGCAGTGTGGAGGTTCCTCAGAAAATTAAAAATAGACCTACCCTATGACCCAGCAATAGCACTGCTAGGAATTTATCCAAGGGACACAGGAGTACTGATGCATAGGGGCACTTGTACCCCAATGTTCATAGCAGCACTCTCAACAATAGCCAAATTATGGAAAGAGCCTAAATGTCCATCAACTGATGAATGGATAAAGAAATTGTGGTTTATATACACTATGGAATACTACGTGGCAATGAGAAAAAATGAAATATGGCCTTCTGTAGCAACGTGGATGGAACTGGAGAGTGTGATGCTAAGTGAAATAAGCCATACAGAGAAAGACAGATACCATATGGTTTCACTCTTATGTGGATCCTGAGAAACTTAACAGGAACCCATGGGGGAGGGGAAGGAAAAAAAAAAAAAAGAGGTTAGAGTGGGAGAGAGCCAAAGCATAAGAGACTGTTGAGAACTGAGAGCAAACTGAGGGTTGATGGGGGGTGGGAGGGAGGAGAGGGTGGGTGATGGGTATTGAGGAGGGCACCTTTTGGGATGAGCACTGGGTGTTGTATGGAAACCAATTTGACAATAAATTTCATAAAAAAAAAAAAAAAAGAAATAAACCCACATATATGTCAACTAATATTTGACAAAGAAGCTAAGAATATTTAGTGCAGAAGTAGCCTCCTCAGTAAATGGTGTTAAGAAAA